CACTGATCTTTTTCAACTCCTTGGTCGATGTTCTGAACCTTGTACTGTTGTACGCTGGAACCTCGCTCACCAAGTTGCTGAAACGTGTTCTTACCACCTTCAGAGGGCTTGTTTCCTTGAAACCTTATCTTCTGTAATTTCTTCAGCTTTGAGGCATTTTTAGTAAGAAAGGTAAGGGCCTTCATGATCTCATCAGCATCAAAGGATTCTTCATCTGATTCTTCATCTTCAGCAACTGCAGTACGAACCTTGGCTTTCAACGCTAAGCCTTTCCCTTTGCTTATTCTCATCGAGTCAAAACCATGGTTGATTTCAAAGGTACGCAATTCACCGAGAAGGTCATCAATGCCCAGCTTTTGAATTCTCTGAAAACTCTCCAAAGCTGTGATCTTAGTTCCAAATCTATCCGGTAGAGTTCTCATTAACTTCTGCACTTGTCTTGCTTCTGGAACCGGTTCACCAAGCATTGCGCTTTGGTTTACTAGATCGCAGAAACGGGCATAGTACATGTCAATAGTTTCATCATCCCTCATGCGAATCTCATCAAGCTCAGTAGAAACTCTTTGGAGCTTTAAGGTTTTCACCGCGTTTGTACCTTCAAATTGTCTTTCCAAGATCCTCCAAGCTTCTTGAGCGGTTGTGCACTGGATGATTATCTTGTGACGAGTGGGATCTACAGCAGACATGATAGCATATAGAGCCCGAAAATTAGCTTCTTCTGCTAGTCTTTCATCATCAGTCCAAATACCCCTTGGTTTTTCAACCAGAGCTTTTGTAGCCGAAGTTGACGACTTTCCATCCGAGGACTCACCTCCCTTAGATTCAGCAGAAACATTTTCCATGAGAGGTAACGTCCAACCAGATTCAACGGCCTGCCACGTGCCTTTACCAAGAGATCGAAGAAAGATCACCATCATGGATTTCCAGTATGCATAGTTAGAACCATCAAGAAACGGAGGGCGCGAAACGGACATCCCATCATGACTCATGGTGCCCGATACACAGTCCCAAAGATCTTTATCCCGTAGTTAGAACAGGAACACTGCTCTGGTGCCAATTGAAACGTATATTTTTACCTCGAGTGCGCAAAACGATGTAAGAACGTGGATAAACAACGTAAATAGCGGAAGCAATAAACCGAAGATGTAAAAACTCTTCAGGGAAGCGTCCCACTTCCCCTCAGAGCTCTTTCATTGATAAACCGTTCACACTTGTATAGTTTGGACTTACACGACTCGAACTCCCTTCTAGTCTAGCCACAACTACACACGATCCTATCAATGACTTCTCCGGCCACGTCTCGTGGACTTTACACACTCGAACCCCTCGAGCAAAACCCAGTACTTAGTCCCTAAGCACTAAAATAAAGTGTTTGTAAAAGAAAAGAAACAAAACGAGTTCAGTTCTTCAGCAATGTAAGAACGCTGAAAAACTGGACCGAATAAAATAAAAATAATAGAAACTCTCAAACACTCAATTGAAGCTGATGAATGATGAACTTGATTTGCAGCAGCTCTCTTGTCTTCAATTGATTGCTTGAGTAGGCTTATATACAACCTCCTTAAGGTAAAGAGTCTTCACATTTCTTCCTTTACCTTTTAGGAGTCAATTTCCTTCTCAATTGATTCCTTTCTGATTTGGACGAAATCCTTCATGTAAGGTAAGTTTCCTTGATGTAGAAATCGTGCATGTGATTTGGAGATCTTCGGAATTGAGCTTCCAATGGAAAAACGCGTTCCAAGAATCTGGTAAGAACATGACTTTCCAAAAATAGCCGATCTTCCAAATCTTCAAAGATCTTGTGGTGAATCTTTCCAAATCCTCTTTAGATCTTCTCATGAACGTCCAGAACTCTTCTTGTATGGAAAGCTCATCCTTTCATAGTCCTTGCCACCTATTCCTTGTCCTACAAGAAAGAGAGAACTAATTATGGCATGTGGCATATATGGTAAGTAAATATATAAGATATATATTATGTAATTCTTCTCCTAAAGGATTAGGATTCCATAATACATACTACAATAAATATATACCATATATTATTAATAATAAATATTAGGAACTTAATTAAATCACAAGTAAATAAATAGAAAAACTTCCCTTTAATTTATTTTGTTTGCTTAACAAGAAATCTTCTAGAAAACACTTAGGTTTGTCGGACATGATGCCAAACCAATGTTCTAACAGTTGAAACTTACAGAGCTCAGCCACTACATATATCGATCCATCTCCTCAACTTAACTAACTCATAATTCCCAGGTATGAATAAAGACATCAATGTTCATAAAAAAAAAAAAGAATAAAGACATCAACACATATGTTACACAAAGTGTGTTTTGAAATTACAACGCGAACCTATGAACTGACTGATGTGTTCAGTTCGTACAAGAAGAACTAAAACAAAATAAAAATTACAACTTGAATGCGGACAGATTAGAGCCGAGGCGATTGAAATCTTTCGGCAAGACAAATACGCCCCGTATAGTGCTGACGGGTATGTGCGTAATGTCCCCAAAGATACAACGGCTAAACACTCGGAAGCTGTAGCACACCAGCCTTCAGAGTTCCGGCGAACGGGACTGAAGTCGAGAACTGAGCACTTTTGATATGATGCGTGAGGCTTTGAGAGTATTCAAATGCATGCAATGTTGTGTCCATTCTCTGCAGCTCTAAGTCCTATTTATAGGACTTCCACCTCTTGAGGGAATGTAAACAGTCATATCTGCCACTTAAGGCAGAGATAAATGAGCATAAACATTTCAGGTGTTACTACACCATTAACCAGGTGTTAATACACCATTAAGCAGGTGTTACTACACCATTAATTAGGTGTTAAGACAATTAACCAGCCATTAACATCCACATGAACAGTCGCATTCTACACATGAACAGTCAAGTTTCCAGGTTCTTTGTACCTGGAGAGGTTTCACTCGGGTTGGGTCAAAACCGAGTCCAAATCCAACTAGAATTGGATTTTTCATTTGGGCCTAAGTTGCAAATAAATTTGCAGCAAAAAGATATATAGTGATTGGGCCCAAGGCCCAAGCGCCCAAGGCCGCCCAAGTCCAGCCCAAAGTCCAATTGCCAAGGCCCAAGTCCAAGTCCAGGTCGGCGGGCGCGCGCGCGCGTGTGGCCGAAAACAACACCAACACTTGGTGCATAGCTTGTGCTTGTTGTTACCTCTCCAACTCTCTTTATTATAATAAAGAGAGTTAAACTCATTTAAGAGTCCAATGTGGGAGTGACTCTTGACCCTTCATATCCCACAACCACGTTTTACGTGCCCTTTTATGGCTAACTTTAACAATTTATTTCTCACTCACCGAAAATCAGTTTTGAGAAAATAAATATACCACGAGTATCTACTCGGAACGTAGAATTTTTCTACAATATTTAATTCAACTTAAATTAAATATTTAGCCATCAAAAATTCAATTAAAACCGGGTCAAACCCAATTTTTACAACTGATTTTTCCAACAACATATATTTATATCTTCTACTTATCCTATGAAACTTCATCTTGTTCCTTATTGGAACAACCTTTCTTATGGAAACGTGTTCGCGTTGGCCTTCGTGGACAAATATGACCGTCTTCCGGCTTTGATATGATTACTTATCCTTATTTTCTATTTTTATTATTTGTTATACTAGCTCTTATTCCATAATTATTTTGTTTAGAATATTTGGAAAATAATTGTTTTCTTTCCTAGCAAGTTGGGAACATAGGAGGATCAAACTCTTTTACTCTCTTGCTTGTACTTTGTTTCATAATCGGTGGTTTTTATGAACAGAAGAATATTTTTCTTGAGATTTTTATCTCGTTTCCCTTTTTCGTTTGCTGCGCTACACCACTTTCACTATTAATTAATGTTGATCAGCTGTTTAATTAATACATACATACAAGTATATATGCAGTTAAACTTGGTTTACTGTGTCTATAATCAATTAATTAATTTAGAACCTAGCTTGTAAGATAATTAATGATGTTAAGGCAGAAGCGGTGCAATTAATTTAGAACATTGAGATATAAATAATTATATATGTAGAATTGTAGACAGATAGGTAGATAGATATAATCCATTTATGTGGTGAGTCGATAACGATGAAATTATTGTACTAGAAATAAAATAATAATATCTGGAGACTGGAGCCTCATGACCCAACATAATAATAATAATAATAATATATTTAATTAATTATGGACTAATAACGAGATATATATATATATATATAAAAACAGAGAGCGAGGATATTAAATGTTTAATTAGTTACAGCCGGCCCGGCCTCCATATATGACCTTTTTTTGTTCACAAAAAAAAATTTGAACAAGTTCCACTTAGTTAAAAGATATATATATCAGGATAATCACACCAAATTAAGGCGCATAATTATATATCTCTTTATTTTCACTGTTACATAAAAATTCCAAGTTAAGTAACTTTCGTATAATCATGAATTCATCAGCTGCTTAATCCAGATTATTATTAGACTTATGACTGAGTCAAATTAATTTCAGTTAGTTTCAAGTTTTTGACAAGATCAGATGCGTAATTATGCATGGTATGTAGTTGTAATAATGTATAGCTACTTCTCTTATCAGAGCCTGCTCGATCGATCGATCGAGCTTAAATATTATCCCTTAAATTTCAAGGATAAGATGACTGGATGATGACGAGGAAATGAAAGTAAACTCTGTCGTAGCTTTAAATATTAATATGGTAATTGAATTGACACAGGCTGTGATATATATATCATATACTATTTATTAATTTGTTGTGTGTGTGTGTGTGTGTGTGAAAGAGATGTTTCAGGTTCAGGTTCATGTTCGCCGCGTATGTACTTGTCCTATAAATACCTGCATTTAGGTGTTTGAATTGTCATAAAAATCAATTAGACACACACATGCATACTAATTAATCTTGCTGCTGGTTAATTTTGGTTTGATCAACAGATCATAATTTAAGCAGTGGATATATATATATATAGAATAATATTAACGATGAATGCATTGGCTGCAACCAACCGAAACTTCAAGTTGGCAGCTCGGCTTTTAGGATTGGACTCCAAGCTCCAGAAGAGTTTACTCATCCCTTTCAGAGAAATCAAGGTGTTCATACATATATATATATATATATCAATCTATGAGATTGATATATATACTCCACACACATATATATGCTGATGCATCATCATATAATTAATAATTAATCCATTTTAACTAGAGCTTGCTAGCTCGGTCGGTTCTGTTAACTGTGTTTGTTTAGTTTTTTAATTTGATATATATGAAAGCAACAATTAATTAATTAATGACAGGTGGAGTGTACCATACCAAAAGATGATGGTACCTTGGCATCGTTTGTAGGATTCAGGGTTCAACATGATAATGCTCGGGGCCCAATGAAAGGAGGAATTAGATACCATCCAGAGGTACGTCGTACGTACGTACGTAGTCTTACTGAGTTATTACGACATGAAATAACTAGAAATAATGAGCAAGAAAGATTGATTTTTCTAGATATAAATACTTATAAATGGTGCAGGTTGAGCCGGACGAAGTAAATGCATTGGCACAACTAATGACTTGGAAGACAGCAGTAGCCAACATCCCTTATGGGGGAGCAAAAGGTGGAATCGGGTGCTCCCCATCGGATTTGACCGTATCGGAACTTGAGAGGCTTACCCGAGTGTTTACCCAAAAGATACACGATCTCATCGGTGTCCACACTGATGTTCCTGCACCTGATATGGGCACTGGCCCACAGGTCATCATGACTTCTTTTTATTTTTTCACTTAAAAATAATTAACTGGAAATCGTAGTTTACTTTACTTGTGTGATGGCCCGACAGACTATGGCCTGGATACTAGACGAGTACTCAAAGTTTCATGGCTATTCACCTGCTGTAGTAACTGGAAAGCCAATTGTAAGTGTAGTATATAAACTAACATGCAGAGTAATTTTTACTTTTGTGATATATTCATAAAGTAACAAATTAATTGTACACATTAATATATATTGGTCAGGCTCTTGGTGGATCCCTTGGCAGAGATGCAGCTACTGGAAGGGGTGTACTTTTCGCAACGCAAGCACTGCTTAATGAGTTTGGAAAGAGCATTGCAGGGCAACGATTTGTCGTGCAGGTACACAATTTAATATACACATGATGCATACACATGAAGAAAAGGAAATCATTTAATTAATTTCATATATATGCAGGGATTCGGAAATGTCGGATCTTGGGCTGCTCGGTTGATAAGGGAAGAAGGTGGGATAATTGTTGGAGTGAGTGACATAACAGGAGCTATAAAGAACAATAATGGTATAGATATACCAAGCCTGATCGAACATGTGAAAAAAACTCGTGGAGTGAAGGGGTTCGACGGTGGGGACAATATAGATCAAGATTCAATATTAGCCGAGGATTGTGATGTTCTCATCCCTGCAGCCCTTGGAGGAGTTATCAACAGGGATAATGCAAAGGACATTAAAGCAAAATTCATAATTGAAGCTGCTAATCATCCTACTGATCCGGAGGCTGATGAGGTAAATAAATATAGCATCTTATTGCAACATTAATTATATTGGCTGTTTTTAACTAGCAAAGTTATATAAATCAAATTTAATTTGACAGATATTGTCAAAGAAGGGAGTAGTTGTTCTTCCAGACATCTATGCAAATTCAGGAGGAGTTACCGTGAGTTACTTTGAATGGGTTCAGGTGCGTTGTTATCTAACTATAGGAAATTAATGACAAGCAATTAATTAGAAATATAAATTAGATAAGTAATTAGGTACGTATAGATGATATATAATGTGTTGTATATAGTTAATAATAATAATAATAATAATAATAATAATAATAATAATAATAATAATAATAATAATATATGAAATGCAGAACATACAAGGGTTCATGTGGGATGAGGATAAAGTGAATGAGGAGCTGAAGAGATACATGAAAAGGGGATTTAAGGATGTAAAAGAGATGTGCCGTACATTGACACTCAAAGGCAGCAATAGCTCATGTGATCTGAGAATGGGAGCCTTGTGCTTGGGCGTTAACCGTGTTGCCACAGCTACCATTCTCCGAGGATGGGAAGCATAATCATAATCATAACAATAATCAAATAGCAATAGATTAATCCTCCGACTAGGATTAAGCTATTGTTGTTTTCAGCCGACAACATTTTTATTGGCTTTTGCTTCAATGTGTGTTAATGTTTTGAATAATGTGATCCATGTACTGTTATGAGTGCAACATGTATTTGCACGTATTTATGTAATGTACTTTATCAAAATATTTTCTGCTTGATTTATTAATAATATATCTCCCGAGTTTGTTTGTCCGCATAAGTCTCGCAACTCAAGAAGATTTGTAATCCATGACATGTTAACATTTCTATTTGAAATGTTATAGTCAACATGCCGTTATTAGATTGTTGACACATTCCACAACCCTTAGTTAAGTTTTCTTCACAGCAAAAGGCCAAAACCTGGGCTGCACACAACTTTGCCTCTCCTTTATTAGTACGACTGCTAATTCAAGTCTTCCTTGCCAATGTTCAAAGCGCTGTCGCACCTCTTTCCCCGTATTCCTTCTTGCTTTACAAACTCTAACTCAATCCCATTTCCCCCCATTCCTATCCTTTACACAGGTAAAAGATGAGATTCTTTCAACTGTTCCTCTTCTATCAGCTTCACACCACTCTAATAGTTCGCCTTACTTAATTAACCGCGCTAACCTTGGTGTGGTATGAATAGCAATATTAATTATATATATAAATACTATTAATTATGTATGCCATAGGAACCAAATTTAATTGGACTATATATATATATATAGGGGCTGATGGACATGTAACATAAGGGGACGGTCCCCCCCAAACTTTTTTTTTTTTGTTTTACTAAGTATATATGTATTATATTATATTAGGTCTATTTTAACTATTAATTGTCCCCCCAAGCCCCATTACAATATATATGTGTTAGTCCACATAAAGGCCCACTAGAGAATTATTTTTAAAATATAACCCAAGCCCATTTACCTCTCATCTATTATTGTATTATATTAGTTCTTTATTGACAATAAAAGTAATATACTTTTCTTTAAATAAACAACAACTTCAAGTCTAAAACAAAGGGACAAAGCCGCACAGAAGCGGAGGGTGAGAAAAGTAGTACAAATTCGTAGCAACACCAAGGATCATCCGTTGACCGCGCGTCGCAACGCGGCAAAATTAAAATTTATATTTTTCCTTAACTTACTTCTACCAACTAGTGTAGTAGCGAGCAAGGGTCGAACCCACAGGGAGTGTGAATTAAATCGTGATATTCTTGTATTAATTGAATTATAAAAGCAATAAAATAGGGGGGATTGGATTAAATAACTAAACTAACTGAAATAAACAAAATCTAAACAAATAAAATAAAAATAAAAATAAATAAATTAAGAGAAATTTCTAGTTCACGGTTCCGTCTACACCCTCGACTGACTCGTCTAATCAACTTTGGTATCAAATCTCGTTATCTTATGAAATTACTAGCCCTAGGCAACGACACGGTCTGTTACCCGAATTTTTCCTTATTTTTAATCTAACCGCGAGACGCTCTACGATTAGACCTGACCTCTTGTACAGTCTAGAAAACGCTTCTTAGATTTAATACAATCAGCCGCTTTACGCATTAGAAAAATAGGCTAGACTAAGTAGTGACGCATACGTTCACTTAAATAGGCTGTGTTATCCCCGGTAGTTACCATCTTCCGGATACCACTTGCGAATTAAACACATCAACAATTACGGATTGAAGGCCTAATTCAGGTGTAGATATGTAAAGCCTAATCTAGGTGATCAATCTAAATAAGACTCAACACATCATGGTTAATTATTCAAAATAACACAAACAATTCCAAGAAGATAATTCAATAATCAACCGCATAAATCAATCAAACATCATCAAGTACGTAGGGTTCAACTTCCCCGGAACTAGAAAGAAAATCTATTCTAACATAATAAACGAAAAGAAAAAGAAAAGAAAGAGAATAGAATTATCCTCTTTCGTGTGCGTGTGCGTCTGCTGTTGCTCTCTGTTCTATGTTCTCTTCGATAGGTCACAGCCGCCGAAAAAAATAATAATATCTCTCAGCAAAAGTCTGGTCTTTTTCCTCCAGGCCACGTTATTCTCTTTTTATGAAAATAAGTGGACCCACTTTCTTTAAGTCTTCAGCCCAAATATAGGTCCATTTTAGCCCATTCTTTCACTTAAGTAAATTCAGCCCAAATTAATTAACTGCAGCAGGAGTACTGGGGGCTGGAGCGAACTACTGGGTACCCCAGTACTACATCAAACAAAAATTTGTCGAGCTCACGTCTTGCATTCAACGTCATCACTTGCTAAGAATAATCCCAAAACTCTGAAGACACTCAAGAAACTCATCAAGGCACCACAATCGATCATAATATTAAATAAGTCTAAAATCATATAAATGCGTCTAAATAAACGTGCACTATTACAAAATTAAACAATCAAAGCGAGCACATTTCTCGACTAATCATCCGTCCAATTTCTTGATTCTTCCGAATATTTTAATTTATGCTTATGTTCAAAACTTGTGCATTATCTCTGATTTGTGCTAATGGATGGTGAAAAGTAGAATGCCCTTGATTTATCCATTGATTGATAGGTTAATAAGCTGATTCTTACATTTCCTGTGTCTACGGCGACCACAGAGCGTGCATTTTCAGATATGACTATCGTTAAATCTAAACTTCGAAGTAAAATGGACGATAACTTTCTTGTAAATTCTTTGACTATTTTCGTTGAAAGAGAAATTGCAAGATCTATTACAACTGAGTCAATCATCGATGTGTTTCGTGACTTGAGAGAATGTCGAGGACAATTCTAATAGTCACAAAGTTTGAACAGTATGTATTTTCTTGAACTATTTTTTTTCCTATTCTAGAAATGCAATTTTGTCTTCTTAATAAATTGTTATTTTTTGTAAATTATTTAGTCCCCCTAACTAGATTTTCTGGATCCGCCCCTATATATATATATATATATATATATATATATATATATATATAGCATATACCTATATTCTTTTATTGATTTAGGTGTCCTGAGTTAGATATGTAGGGAAATTAAGAACAAGTTATTACTTAGTATTATTGTTACTAGTACAACACTTGTGTATTACACGGGTGCTTGTTAAAAAATTATTCTTAAATTTTAAAATTAATGAGAAAACTATATTAAATTTAGTTTACTTTTTTATAAAAAAAAATATATTACTATATATTTTAGAATGATATGTGTTACTTATGACTTACATGTGTTATATTATATTAGTTTTTATAATTTATATCATATAACTACTTGAAATATAAACATATTAGTTGATAAATAATTTTATTTTTTAATTAATATTAAAAATAATTTTATTACTGTTATAAAGATAAATATAATTATTTTTTTATACATACAATATGGATGTTAAATCGAAGTTTATCAAAAGAAGATTAATTTGATATATTACATATGTAAAACTGATAAAAAATACAAAAGTCTTTTAAAATACATATACAATTCAATAGTTATAATAAGGAATGATATTAAAATGCAATTAATGTATGTAACATGACCATAAATAATCAACATATATATGGTAATCCGAACCTAATTATTTTTTGTTTGGAATTAAATTAAAATTTATCCAAGCCTAATAACGAAACATGTAATTTTGCCATATAGGATTTCGAAGCACCAGAAGCAGCCACGTAGGCTCGTCGCGTTTTGGATTAATATATAGGGGATGGTGTTCCACTAGTCTTATAAAATGATTTTCAAAGTTTTGACATCTTGTAAGATGTCTTTAAAATTGATAATTGTTACGTCTTATTTAAAAAGAAAGTATTTAAATAGTTGTAACGAATAAATATATATTTGAACTTATAAAATGTCTTAAATCTATCTTTATAATTTTTGGAAAGTTGACTTTTTAATCGAATACATTGACTTTCTATTTAAAGAATTTTCTTATAAAATACAAGTAAAATTAGAATATATATTCACATCATTTTTTTTCTAGGAAAAACGCGTGTATATTTTCAAAACAGATGGTGCCCTAAATAGTACACTACAAAAAAAATCCACATTTCAAGGAAAAATCATACGGTAATATATTCCAATAGCAATTCCAATAATATACTTCTGTTGGGATGATTCCAACGGAATTATACCGTTGGAATAAGTTTTCCATTGGAATTTAGATGAAATTTTATCATTCCAACAGTTTTTTATCGTAGAAATTTCTGTTGAAATTTTTATTTTCACCTAAATTTCAGCCGTTGAAAAATGTACCGTTAGAATTGTCAAAATCCAACAAAAATTTCAATTGAAAACTCATCCCAACGAAATATTTTTGTTGAAAATTCCAACAGAATCCTGAAAAATTTAAATGAAAATAATAACAATGAAATATCTATTGAAATTGTCGTTGGAATTCCATTGAAATATATTTCCGTTGGAATTTTCATTGAAATTTCATCACATTCTTGTAGTAGTAATTTATTGTAAATAATGTATTAAATATTGATTTAAAAAAAAAAAAATAGTCTCAAGTTATTCATACTAAAATATAAATGTATGTATAATAAGTGGATTTAGTATAAAATAAATAAAATAGTAAGTGTTATGTTTATCACTCACATGTTTAAAAACATAATGCTAAAATTTATAAAACTAAGCAAACAATTATTCAAGGATCAAGTATATACTATATTAAAATAATAAATGAGCAGGTCATTTGTCAACATGTAAATTAATGGATAAAAAAAATTAAAATGACAACTAATTTATAACGTGTTAAATAAATATATAAATTTTATATTAAACTAATATATTATAAAAGTAAAATAAAATATAAAAATTAAATTTTAATATTTAAAATATTTTATACTAATTAGTATTTCTTCATTTCGTTATTTTATATTATTGTCTCGTGAGCCGCACGAGTTGGAAGAATTTCATGGAGATCATGAAGATGAAATCTGAGAATTTGGAAGTAAACCAAATGTTTCATTCATTGTGGTTGCTGTTAAATTA